TCGATATTCATTATTTATATTAGACTATTTCTAATTGAAATACAGGATGAAAATTTTCAATTCAAACTAGTTTCCTGATATCGATGATTCTTATCAACTGATTTTCAGTATTTATTGCCCAAGTATGAGACAGAGAGTATTGTTGTTCAATATACTGAGTGTTTCACAACTTATCTAACAAATTTCAACCACAACTATGATATTACATAAGAAGTCTATCACATAAAAATTTTATAGAAGTAAAACGAGATAGAAAATGAAATTTATAACACTTTATATCTACTTAAAATATTCGAAATGGGCTCTATTGGCGAAATATGACATTAGTGGCTTCTTCAGCATTATGAAGATCCAACTAAAAAGTCCTATATCCTAAATTTCAGTACTTGGTAAGACCTCCCCGATTCAACTAAACCTCATGAAATCGGTTTGGCATAGATTCTATGAGATTTTTGATGAAGTCTATTGATATTGCCTCCCATTCTTCTGATACAGCTTGGATAAGGTTGTCATTATTTTGGGGTGCCTCTCGCCTTCTCTATAGGCTGGGTGTCATTCGGCTCCACACATGTTCAATCAAATTCAGATCTGGAGATAATGCTGGTCACCACATTCTTATAATTATTGTTTTCTAGAGTTCTTAATTTGTCAGATAAGTTGTGAAACACTCAGTATATTGAACAACAATACTCTGTGTCTCATACTTAGGCAATAAATATTTTCATCCTGTATTTCAATTAGAGGCGAATTTTCGGAAACGTGTCGAGTTAATAGTCTGATAAAAATAATGGATATCGAGAACGCCATTTCTGAATATACTGAATCGAATGGGCCATGGTTTTAGTCACCATATTTGATTTTTTTACTGAAATGAGATTTGGTCCTATTTTCTCATCATCCTGTATATTCCACAATAGTGCTTTTTCCGTCTTTCATTGTCCTCCACAAAACATAAGAACAGTTCTTCCCAATAGTCAGCTCAAGTGGAGTTCTAGAGAAAAAAATTCATGAAATGCAAGACTTTCGAAAAAAAATCGAATTTTTTTTCCACTGGCCAATTAGGGAGAAATCACGAATACGTCCCGAGATAAAGTCCCAGTGTATCATAATATGACTGACTTTTGATCAGAAAAAAATTTCTCGAGTTCTGGCAGCATTGGAAATGTAGACCTTGGTGTAATGGTTCCACTTTACACCCTGTATAAGTTTTGTTCTGCGGACTTTTGAAGAGTGTTCTAGCTCTCTTTGAAGCCGATGAAACATCACATCTGATATCGAAAACCGCATGAAGATCAGTCAATTTTTTCAAAAAATACAGGTCTTCGAAATAGAATCAAATTATGAGTGGTCCATTCAGTGTGTTGAGAATTTTGATGCTTAATCTGGAAAGACATTACTTTATACACTTTATATTATCACCTCTCGATTCTCTCGCATTATACCTTTCACCATTCACTTATAGAATTCAACCACATCATTATTTATTATTCTTCGCATATGTATACAGGATGAGTCACTTTTTTGTAGCAGGACTCTAACAGCTCAAAGGAGACATTTTTTCAAGATGAAAATCTTCGATAAACATATATGCGTGGGAGCTTCGTTTCCGATATACAGAGGGTTTCAAAGTTTGCACGACCCCAAAAGTGTATTACCTTGTAGATATTCAACAACATAAGAAAAATCTCAAAGTTTGAAACCCTGTATATCGGAAACGAAGCCCCCACGCATATATGTTTACATGAGGTTTTCATCTTGAAAAAATGTGTTATTTAAGCTGTTAAAATGCTGCAACAAAATACAGACTCGAAAAATAAAGACAAGTAAATTATTTTAGGCATTTAAAGTTTTCGAAAGAATAAAAGGGAGCAAGAAGTATTCAAATTGAAGGGAGAATCTGAATTGATGTTTAAAAAAATAAAAAGGCGGTACGCAAAAAAGTTCGAGAGGGTAAACTCGGGCACTGTACGACCCTCAAAAGTTTATCATCCCGTAGGTATTCGAGAACGCCGGCACTGTACGACACTCAAAAGTTTATCATCCCGTAGGTATTCAAGAACGCCCGATAGCCCCAAATAGTGCGTTTCCAAAGTTTGATAGGTGTACCAAATTTCAATTCATTATTTTGGAAGATGTAGGAGGAAATTCGAAACATCGAAACTGTATATTGGAATCGAAGCTTCCACGCATATATATTTATCGAAGATTTTCATCTTGAAATAATGTGTTCTCTCAGAGATGTTAGAGTCCCGTATGAATGAATGAAGTGGTATTTGCACGTAGAAAAAATTCAAGTGCCTAGTCGGTTTCTCTGCGATCTTTTATCCATCGAATAAAAAAAAATTGTGTTTCTTGCGATTGCGAAAAACGAATTATTGTTCAAAACAAATTGATACGCTCACCGCGCTGCAATATTCAATGCCTCTCTACTCTAGTCTAGACGCTTGTAATTTTTTCACCATCTGTCAAATTAGAGAATGAACATTCAAAGGTTTGTTCATTGTTATCAACTATACTTACTTCATATATTTCCTAGTGATGTCAATATTGATGAATTTTTTTTTTTTTAATAAATGAGTACAAATGATCAAATCAATGCAAAATACAAAAAATGGTATATTACACTTACACACGTTTTATAAGATATATTGTTGCACTAGTTTTTTTGGAGCATTCCTCGCTTCGCTCGTCGTACTCCAATCTCCAAACAATGCGTGCGGCAACATATTGTCTTATAAAACCTATATATAATAATGGATATATACTATCTATTAGACATCAAATTGAACAACCACCCGCCTGTTACTTACATACAGGGTACAACAGAGTCACTTTGCTGTGGGTGTCTGGACACCAGGGGGTGGAGGGTAACGAGAAAGCCGACATCCTCGCCAAACAGGGAACCGAATCTGTGTTCATAGGACCAGAACCATATTTTGGGGTCACCGCAAGTGCGGCGAAAACAACTATCTCGGGCTGAGCGGAGGGAAAAACACTCACGTACTGGTCCGAATTACCAGGATTAACCCATTCGAAGGCGAATTCTGACTGGTCTGCTTACGGGACACTGTCGTCTAAGATACCACCTGGGAAGGATGGGTCTGAACCAACAAACGGACTGTCGGTTCTGTTGTGTGGAAGACGAAACGGCTGAACACATATTATGTTCATGCTCTAGCTTAGAAAGACTAAGGTTCGACACATTTGGCTTTACCAACCTAGAACCTATCGATTTCAGACAAATCTCACCCAATTCAACCCTGAACTTTGTAAAAAGATGTGGATTGTACGGTGATCTGTAACCTCTGCTAGGGGTGAGCCACAATAGACCCATCTGGGGTCGCAGTGGAGGGGAGGTGTTCGCCCCACTCACATGGAACCTAACCTAACCTACATACAGGGTGTCCGCTAAAAGGAGGTCAATCCATTAACCACATATTCCTTGAACAAAAACAATATGAGTTTCTAAATACCAGTTTTCATTTTAGCCCATCATATTCGATATACAGGGTGTCAAAGTTGGAAATTAAAAACTGTTTTTTTCTAATTACTCGCGTATTTGATAAGATATTAATCTCAAAATTGGTACATGACTTCAGCACAAAGAGTTACGTCGTGTGAGGAAAACATAACAGAAAATAACTGTCAAATATTCAAAATACTGGGGGTCAAGTACACACTTACTCCCATATTTTTTTTGTACGTGCGCTAATGACTTCCTATCTATTTTCCTTCAAGTGTTCAATCATTTTTGAGTAATTTGTGTTTCTTGTAAAATTTCGATTAAATCATTTGTTTTTAAGATAATTCGAAAAGTACTGGTTATTGTTTGATGCCTATGCGGCTTACGGTAATCTCCTCGGTAATCTCATAATGTTCACATACTCCTATTTATTTCGTCGAAATTGGAAGAGGGCGTATCTTTTTACGTACGAAAAAGTAAACATGGAAATACCGGGTGCTCAGAGCGAATGTATTAAAATAATTTTTACAATTTTTCAATTTTTTTTTTCTGTAAAAATTATTTTAGTACATTTGCTCTGAGCACCCGGTATTTCCATGCATATTTACCTTTTCGTACGTAAAAAGATACGCCCTCTTCCAATTTCGACGAAATAAATAGGAGTATGTGAACATTATGAGATTACCGTAAGCCGCGAGGCATGAAACAATAACCAGTACTTTTCGAATTATCTTAAAAACAAATAATTTTATCGGAATTTTACAAAAATCTAAAAATACTCAAAAATGATTGTACACTTGAAGAAAAATAGATAAGAAGTCATTAGCGCAAGAACAAGAAAAATATGGGGGTAATTGTGTACTTGACCCCGCTTGACCCCCAGTATTTTGAATATTTGACAGTTATTTTCTGTTTTGTCTTCCTCACACGATGTAACTCTTTGTGCTGAAGTAATGTACTAATTTTGAGATTAATATCTTATTAATTACGCGAGTAATTAGAAAAACAACAGTTTTTAATTTCCAACTTTGACACCCTGTATATCGAATATGAAGGGCTAAAATGAAAAATGGTGTTTAGAAACTCATATTATTTTTGTTCAAGGAATATATGGTTAATGGATTGACCTCCTTTTAGCGGACACCCTGTATATATGTATCGAAATCCATGAATACATCCTGACCAAAATTATTATTGATATCGTGGTGGGTAGTTATTTCACGTTCACAGGATTTTAGGATCTGAAATATACTGGTAAGATATTGCAGGTGAATTTCTAGGCAAATGATTCTCACAATATTCATATTCGTGCGAGTGTAGGAGCATGAAAAATTCCTCAGAACATGGTGCTTTATCACCAAATTACTATAGCATAGGGCATAGACCATCGTCACAAGTCGAAATACACTTGCGCAATATGTTTGTACATTGATAATATTTTATATATCCACTCGGTTTACTATTACTGAGTTTATTACATTCTATATTGAATGGGTGTATTTTCATTTATAATAGGAACTCAAGCGAAAAAACTTACCCGCGTCACGATAACCATGGTGGAAAGGCATCAATGTGGGTGAACCTGGAACAAAATAAGAGCATTAGACGGTACAAAACATATTCAAAATTACAATATTGCCGCACGTTAAAAAAGCATAATATAACATACAGATATCATGATATTTAACTAGCTATATATCGAAACCATCCAAAATTCATGAGAAGTTGTAGTTCGATTTTTTCTGTGAGTGCTAAATTATTTCTAGCTCAACGTGCTTCAGGTATACCGATAGTTGATATATTATCTTCGATGTTTTGAATAAATTGAAAATCCTGTATTCATTCAAATTGTCAACAATATGTCAACTATTATACGACATTAATAGGGATATTGGAAACATAACTTTCATTGCAGTGACGTGACAATTGAATGAACATAACACCTGAGGAAACTTGAGTTTACCGACAGGTCACAAACAATGCATTGTTAAATCCGATGATTTTGCATTTTGTAATAAGGAATTGCTATTTTTGTTCATTTCCTTTACTACCTCTCTCAAAATTTTCAAAAAAGAAACTATCAATTCTAGATAGGTATACAAGGATTTCCATCTATAGAATTTGATGGGGAATCAAACCATACTCATACGAATAAGAGAGTTGACATCTTCTTCCTGTATAACGGAAGGTCAGCAGAATTGGGCAATATTTCCGTTGAGTAAGCAGAATTGGGCAATATTTCCGTTGAGAATTTTGAAATTAAGTAAATTCTGCTCGGTTTTCCATATACATGGTGCTGCAAAATTCGACCGACAACGCTTCATAGAGTGGTTAGCCACGGAGATACAGTTGTAAAATTCCCTGTTCAATTTTGTTGAAGAAACGCATCAATACCTCCGACTGAACTAAAATGGACAGTTTTCTTAGATTCTAACTTGTACTTACCCAGCTTGTACCATAGCTTTTACAAACAGCAATGACCGTTTTTAAATAAAATGACCGGGAGATGGCGACACAAAATATTTGGTTATTTCTACCAGTATGATGGTCATAGAGCTGGCACCGGCGGTCCAATCGCGTGGGCGTTAATCGAATGGGTCGGAGTAACGCGATTTGTTCCACAAAAGGTATGTTCTTTTTTACACCACATTTTCATAATTGATAGAAGTGACGACACTCTCTGATGCACCGAATTGTTGGAGTCATCAGTGTTGAAAAAAACGCAGGTATTTGACATGACAAATCACAACTGTTTTTTCCATTATTTATTTTTCTTTTCGTGATTTGATGGTGATTCAGATTGTTTCCAATTAGATGCTCAGAATTGGCGAAATATTGTTTATGTTGACTAGACAATAAGATAGGTTGAAAATGCTTAGCAACCTATATACAAAACATTGCATTTAATTATGATGATATGGAAAGAGTCATTAATAAGAATTATCTGTTGGTATTCAGTGCCGGTTTAAGGTGATTTGCCGCCTGGTGCTATGATGGACGCGCCACCCTTCAGATGAAAAATATTCCTAATCTTTCAGGTCTTTGGATTTTTTCCATGACACATTTTTGAAGTGATAATAAATTCTATAGGCACGTTGGACGTTTTCTGGGATAGGAGTAAAACGGAAAACTCGCGTCCCGGGTGCCGCGTTACCATAAGACCGGCATAATCATATACAGGGTGTTCCGAAACTATTGTGCCAAAATGTAAGGGTGGGTAGATCTCGCCAAAACAAACGTTTTTTACTTATCAACCCATAGGCGCATGCACCTTATTTCGGTACCAATAGGTATCACAAGAAAAAAGTTTAACATATGTGCATACTCAAATAATATCGATATTAAGTGCCCAGCTCTACCGATTTTGACGTATGTACATACATAAATAAATAATATCGATATTGAGTGCTCAGCTCTACCGATTTTGACGATCGAGACCAATCGCTGCGCTCCCGACACTCGTATTGCGTAGACTTCTCATTTATTATTGCGTCGTGGCAATGTGTAAAACCTAACTCAATCTAAATTGTAGTGTTTTTTTTTATAAACTCTTCCATATATTGCTTGTGATTTCATGTCATTTACTAACACGGTTTCCGGTACAAACACGTTTCCCCGTGTCCGAGGTTGGATACCACTGCGCGGACCTTAATGCGCTATTATCACTGAACGCATGCGCATGCGCCTATGGGTTAATAAGTGAAAAACGTTTGTTTTGGCGAGATCTACCAACCCTTGAATTTTGGCACAATAGTTTCGGAACACCCTGTATAGGCAGTGTAGCTATACCATAGAAGTTCTATGCACACCAGTTTTTTTTATAGAAGTTGCACAAAATGCTGTGGAATAAAATTATAAATAAAATTATTTAGTGTTCACATATTAAATAACAAGGAACATGAATATGTATATATGGTAGAAAAAAAATGGAACATCAAATGATAATAGGCAAGTACGTACTAGGAACATAAAGTAACAATACAAAAATGTGTTTTCTTGCTTCAATGCAAGCCTTCATGTATGATACTCTTCACAATCTCTATACATTAGTTTTATTCAATAGATCTTGTTTGAGTTGAGACAAAAATGTTAGCTCAAAAATTTCGAAAACAAATATTTATATTGGGAAAAGAAGATATTATATTACATTATTCTCGTGTAGAACTCGGACAAATTCCATAATAGGAGTCTTTAGTCTCTAGGAGAGAAAACTGTTTCTTCAGATGAATACCATTCGTCAGAAACAAATTTGTCCAGATCCTCTACATACTTTTTTTGTAGTATAGTTGCCAATTTGATCAAATTTCCATCCTCTGCTGACACTATCTTGAACAGAAAGTCAAATGATTCTGAACAAGATTTGTAGGTGGAAGTCCGACAAAAAATTTCAAATCTGCAACTTAAAATGAAACATTGCGTCCGACTTCTCTCTCTGGTTTGAACTTTTTGCCGTATTTTTTCTCCCAATTGTGCTGTTAGGTAGTGTAGTGATCAAATCTTTCGCGTAAAAAATCGAAATATCCATATAATGACTGATGACAAAAGATGTGCAAATGCATTTTCATATAGCCACCCTGAAGATTTTGCCGCCTGGTGCTATAGCACCCAAAAGACCCCTGGTAAAACCGGCACTGTTGGTACTCCAGTTTCCTATGAATGTTTGCACTAATTTCTTGAAATTCATGATGGGAAAGAAAAAAGTATCTATACCACCCGAAATTTCTTAAATTTTTGTTGGTGTCAATAATGCAGCTATTCTTTTATTTTCATATTTTAGACTGATTTCGATTAATTCATCCATATTTTTTCTAAGGCGGCGTTCAAATCCAATATTCTGTTTATAGTTTTTCAAGGTTATGCTGTCGCTGTCATTTTGGAAGCCACCAAAAATCGTCCACCATCTCTGAACATCGGGAGAATGGTTTGTAATTTTGGTTGACAAAACAGTAATAAATGGGCGCGTGGTTACGTCAAACTGAAATCCATCAAACAATATAATATAAACACAGTTGCTGGATTGATGGAGCCACCGGTCAATAAAAGAACGTCCCTAAAATCTCTTGGTTTTTCAGATAGTCGATAAAAAAAGAACGCGGTAGCATGATGCCATATTTAATTTAAAAAAAACAATTCAACCATCATTCGTACCAGGCTAATTTTTGCTCAGCTTATCATCGTTGAATAGCCATTCACGAAAATTAGGATCAATTTTTTTTTCTCAAAACGATTTATACCACCCTCAAACTTTTTCAACAGTTCTCTGTATGATCATGAATAGAAGTCTGATAATGCCATACTTATGGGAGGTGGCGAATGTGTACAATATGTTTCCAAAATTTTGAGATTTTTTTCGTAACGAGTTGTACCAGTATATGGAACTAATTTTTCCTGTACGTTTAAGGTTTAACGAATATGAATACTAATTTTCGAACACATATAGGTGGCGGCAATCTCAACTTATATAACCAGATGTCATGTGTTTTCCCAACGAAATATTCAAGAAGGAATTCGAGAAATTGGCAACATCCAAAATCGGTGACGCAGAAAACATAAAAAAATTAACAACAACCCCTTGTAGCGCATTTTCCAAATTTGTGTCTGATCAAAACTTCACTTATTTCAAGATGAAACCCTCAATGAAACCATATACCGAACTTGAATGCAAAAAAATCACACGTTCATGAGTAATTAATAAAAAACTATTTTTGTCTCAACTTTAACACCCTCTGTATCTCGAGAACTCAACACTATATACTATAGGCCTCGACCTCATGTCTCTACCTTATATATTCATTGCAAAATCACCCTTTATATTTCTGATGAAACAAAATGTCTGCCTCACGAATGAGTCTATAGGTTCGTATGATAGTCAAATCAGCTATTCACATTAATTTTCCTTGTGTAATTTCCCAAGAAAACAAGTAGCATAAAATGCGTTATGTTGTGTCATCGGCTTTTTATACTTATACGAATAATCCTAAAAATAATAATCAGCGATACCGCTGACGTACACTTGATGAATTGGGTATTTCTAACCTATAGAAATCGTAAATCAATATGGAGTTATTGGCTGAGTAGCTCATCGGTCTGTTTAGGAAACTTTTTGGCTACCTTCCATTTCCTGAGCATTTCCATTAGGTTAAATTTCCTCGTTCCACCGAAAGGCTCAGGAATGAAGGATGCAGACCAGATGCTGCACCTTATTGACACCAAGGCAATCTGCTGCATCAGAGTATTTCAAAAAGTTAATATAGAAATGATTAAGTGCCTCGAATGCGACTTGATCCGTTACCATCGAGATTGTCTGTGATTGTTGTGATTAATTACCTAATAACGCAAATTTTCAAATTTCTACCTTCAATATATTAACGCTTAAAATAAATGGGAACAATATCAGTGATGTTCAGTTTTTTTAGAATATTTCAGGAACGGCTGACGTTTGTCGAGATTGCGAAACGTTATATTGATGAGGTTTAAATTACGCAACTTTTGTCTCAATCAATCAACTTCCTATCTCTTACCGCTTTGGAGATAGCAATACTGTCCCGATTAAATCGTCCAGACCCTGTATACGCTAGCATT